CATTCATTAAGCCATCCATCCAACTGTTTGTCCATCCATCCATCTATTCATCATCCATCCATCCATCCATTCATTCAGCCATCCATCCAACTGTTTGTCCATCCATCCATCTATTCATCATCCATCCATCCATCCATCCATTCATTCAGCCATCCATGCAACTGTCCATCCATCCATCCTCTACATGCTTTTGTTTGTTCTGTTTTTACTTTTGTCTCGTTCTCTTTATCTGTAGTTTACGTTGCGCATGTTTTCCAGTTAACGTTTTTATTAAAGTGATTCTTCAGCTAACCCAACATTTAATCAGGTGCATAAAAATCACAAACGGTTGTCGTTTGCATCAAGTTAGAAACTGATGATTGTAACATTTTTTTTAATGTAGCTGAACAACGGAACATAAAAACATTAGTTTTATGGAAACGAGTCAAACTTGAGGAAGTGGGATCTAAACCTGAGTCTAATCGTTTCCTCTCCTCCGCTCCTCAGAATCCATATGAGCTGAGTGAGCGCTCCACAGCAGCTGACTGACCCCTCCGTCCTCCCTTCCCTCCATCTCCGCCTCTCCTCGCCTCCCTCCCTCCCAGTCTGACATCTCAGCAGAGTTCAGAGGACTCGTGGATTCATGCCAAGCATCACACCCCACAGGTGACACCGAGCTCTGCTGAAGCTGTTTCAGCAGAAGAAACAACAAACTGCAGCTGGAGACACTGAAACAGTGCCAGAGTTTCAAACGTGTCTCAGCTGCAGCTACATTTTCCTCTTCTTTACCTAAAAGCTGAAGTACCTCCTTGAAGAAATGCATATCGCCCGCTGCCTTTCATACCAAAATGTTAAGCTCTTTTAATGATTTAGGTCAAACCATAAAAACAGCTGATTATTTAATCAATTTTTGCACAATCTGGTAGTGCTCTTAATATGTGTTGGGGATGACTCTCAGCTACCATCACACCAAATTTTAGCTCAATATTTGTACAACTGACTGAGTTTTAGCCATTTTTGCGTTTTCTACATTTGATTAGCTGTGGCGGCCATCTTGAATCAGGTTGACTCCAAATGATAATCAGTTGTAGTTGTACATCCAGCAATTCCCTTCAGATAATTTCATAAAAATCTATCTTGTGGTTCATGAGATATTTTGCTAACAGAGCCAAATGAACACAAGCATTTACACTTCTGCCTGTAAAGGACAATAAACGTTAAGATTGGTGTGTTTTTTTTAAGTAAGCCTTTTGTTATCAGATAAATAAAATGTTTGAGCTATTTCTATCTGCTCTGGTGACAATGATTAAATAAACTACAAAATGTGTTATTATTTTATATTTAAAGAATTGTTATACTACTATAATATAATCTCTATACCTCCATCTAATACTGCCATTTAAAAACAAGTATGTTTTTGTCTCATCCTAAAAAGAAAGAAAGAAGAATCCGATGAGCGTCTGTTTAGACTCCGTCTTTTCTGGAGGAGTTCTGTGGTGGAACCAGATCTTTAAAGATCAGACGAATAAAAAACCTTTTAAAGGAAAGAAGTTTGATACTCGAGGACGCTCCGCCCTCTTGTGGCAGTGGAGGAGAACCTCAACATTCACTGTTAAGAAGCACATTTAACTTCCAGGGGTTCTCACAGCTCATCTGGACCAGAGTCCCAAAGTTAGAAGAATCAAATTATCTATAAAAAAACAAAACACCAAATGCACATTTAACCCCGACTGTTACAAAGAAAGAAAAATAATGGTCATAAATCGTCTGTAATGTGGTTCTTGTTGGTCATAAACTGAAATGTTTGGTTCTGACCCACAAAATCACCTCAGCCTGGACTTATGAGCCCCAAACCTTCCTGGTTGAAACGTCACCGAAGAGCCTTTAAAAAGGAGGAAAGAGTTACTGAAATGATTCAATTACGTCTGCTCTTTGTGTGTTTATAGAAATATTAGTGGTGTTAGCAATCGTCTTAACTTTTTATTTATTTCTGGAACCCCAGCTCTTGTTGTGTCGCAGCATTTAACTTTGGGAGCCACAGCTCTGCAGCACGGCTGACAGGTGGTGGAGTAACGGCAGCGCTTCAAGGGTTAAATCAATCACAAATAAAGAGGCGTCATTTTCGTACCGCGAACAAACAAAGTAAAGGTACCGGCTGCAAAATATGAAGTCAAGCGTAACTAGAGAAATTGCATTTCCTGCGGAAGTTCAGTGTGAATGCTTATTGCTGAAGAACTTGCTGAAAAACAGCTGAAATTAGCTGAAAAACAGCTGAAATTAGCTGAAAAACTGCTGAAATTAGCTGAAAAACTGCTGAAAT